CCTTCGGTTTTCTGCCAACTTTTTTACCCCGCTCCAAGTCTGCCCACATGCTCTCATCTCCTCTTCACATAACCTCCTCCAAGTCACCCTTGCACTGACGACCAACTCGCCGCCCGCTTCTCTTTCGGGTTCCACTCGAGCGATGGCTTGTCTAGTGATGTCACTTGATGGCTTTCTCAGCCTATGGCCAGTCCATCTCCATTTCTTTCTGCCTATTTGTTTCACAATCGGTTTCTGCTGAGTTGATTCGCTCCCAGAGATCTCTGTTGCTGATCTTTTCTGACCGGCCATCTGATCTTGAGTATTTATTTATTTATTTAAACGCATAAAAAACTTGGTACAATATGGCACCAAGAAAGATGCGCCACACAATAATAATAAAACAACATAGATCAAAAAAAAGGAAGGAAGGAAAAGAAAAAATATATATAAGTAGAAAACGGATAAAGAACTTCATCTGGAAGGAAAACAGTCATGCTTAACAAGTTCAAACAGTGTTCGTTAGCTATCATCGGGAAGGGAAGAAAGAAGGAAATCACAACACATTCGCCACTGATTACGATTCTTGGCCATATCCGATAACGTTTCGAGCCATCGATTTGAGCTATCTCTCGGACCCCATCCAGGGAGTCGTGACACATCAACCGATGCTAATCTAGCACAAAAATCCTTCATCCCACGACGCCACGTCATGGACTGACCACCTCTCCGCCTTTTCCATCCCGTCCCAGGGCTAGCGAACAGAGACCTGTACGGAAGCCTCTGGAGTGACATTCGGAGCACATGTCGAAGCCACCGGAGCCGGTGTTTCCAGATGACGACATTCAAGGAATAGTGATCTCCACTTTGTTCAAACACACGCCGCCGAACCTCAGAATTACTCACGCGATGATGCCATCGAACGCAAGCAATCCTGCGGAGACAGCGGTGATCGAACACGCAGAGTCGCCGCACATCCTCAGCTCGGAGAGGCCAGGTTTCACAGGCGTAGAGCAGGACAGCTCGCACCGAAGCATTGTATACCCGACCTTTGACAGCCAGGCTAACGTCGCGACGGCGCCAGAGGTGGCTCAAGTTGATGTATGCCACCCTAGCCTTCATTATACGGTTGGAAATCTCATCCGTCACCCCTCCGCCAGCACTCACACAACTACCCAAGTACACAAACTTATCAGCAACTTCAAGCGGTTCACCCGCAAGAGTGAGTGCAGGTACAGGCTCCTCCCAATCTTGTAACAGTACTTTGCACTTAGACGGCGCAAAGCACATACCATACTTACAGACACTGATCGCCAACTGATTAAGTGCGATTTGGGCAGCCTGCATGCTATCGCACAGTAAGACGATATCGTCTGCATACTCGAGGTCGAAAAGTCTATCTCCAGGTAGCAGATCTACACCACCTTCACGCACATCCTTCAGAGCTGACTCCAGAATGTCATCGATGGCAAAGTTAAAGAGAAACGGAGAGATTGGGCAACCCTGTCTAACCCCACTGTTGGTTGGGAACAGTGGTGATAGTTGGTTGTATGCCCTCACTCTACCTGAGGTGTTTCTGTATAGGGCTTTCAGGATGTTAACAAATTTCTCAGGTACACCTCTCTCTAACAGACAGTTCCAGAGCACAGTTCTGTCCAACGAATCGAAGGCAGCCCTAATATCAAGAAACACAACGATCGTTGGCCTGCAATACGTGTGGCGGTGTTCCAACAACTGACGAAGGGTGAACACCTGATCAATGCATCCACGACCTGAACGAAACCCAGCCTGCTCTTCGCGAATCAATCCTTCACGTATTTTGCACAGTCTGCGAAGCAAGACAGCAGCCAGTATTTTAGACGCGACTGGTAACAGACTGATACCCCTATGATTGTCACACGAATTACGTCGACCCTTTTTAAAGATGGGGACGATAATGGCTTCGTTCCACATTGATGGTACACTCTCTGCCTCCCACACCTTCCTAAACAACCCAGTTAGAGCCATTGTGAGAGTCTCGCCACCATCTTTAAAAACAGCCGGGGGTAATTTGTCTGGGCCAGGCGCCTTATGGCGTTTCAGAACTTGGAGTTCCTTACGGACCTCCGCTTCGGTGGGTGGGTCGGTACTAACCGACCAAGGAGCACTCGGGCTAATGATAGTAGACACTGAAGCTGGTGGCCAGCTGAACTGCTTCCCGAAGTGCTCTGCCCAGCGTTCCAGGCGTCTTTTCAGGCTGGTAATTGGAGTGCCATCTGCCTCACAGACCGTCTCGCTGACACCTTGTTTCTTGCTGCCGGTGGCTCGTATGAGTTGGAACAGCTTCCGACTGTTGCCAGATGCAGCAGCTGACTCCATCTCACACGCACGTTCTGACCACCAGGCTTCGCGGTCCTTACGTAAACACTGTCTAATCTTGCGCGTGAGCGCCTTTCGCTGATTGTTGTATTCGCTGCCAGCCGGAATGGACCGGCGTTCATCCATGAGTTGCAAGGAACTCGCAGAAACCCAGTGGTTGTTAGCGGAGCATTCTTTCAAGCCGCAAGCGGCTACACTCGCCTTTTGCATGGCACCTTGCACATGAAGCCAATGTTCATCTATACTACTTGGGGGGTTGCTGGCAAGCATTGTTTTTAACTCATTCTGATATTTCAAAGAAGTAGCAGGTGCTACTAGTTTGCTCACATCAACGCTTAGACTACGGCTTTTACGAACCCCACCAAATCGCAAGACGAACTTGGCACACACTAACGCATGATCGGAGTCCAGGCATGTGCTCCAGAAGGAGCGACAGTCTTGTATGCATCCCCGCCACCGGAAACTGACCGCGATATGATCAATCTGAGTCCAAGCTTGCTTCGCAGTGGGAGGACGCCAGGTAGAGCTACGGCGATGGCTGTGCCGGAAGTTGGTGCTAGCTAGAAATAGGTTGTGATCCGCGCAAAGCTGCAGAAGACGGTTCCCATTATCTGACCTGCGACCATGTAGTCCCCACTGACCACCTAGACGATTCTCCTCTGAGCTTAGACGCCCCACCTGTGCATTCAAGTCCCCAGCCAGCACTACGATATCCCTCCAACCCGCCTGTTTCAAGAGATCGCTCAGTTGGCAGTAAAACTCATCCTTCATTGCATCCGGGCTGCAATCCGTCGGTGCATAGGCAGAGACAACAAATAGACACCGCCTATCTGACCTACTACTGTTTACTTTCGTGTAACCTTCCAGCCTCACAGCACATAAACGACTGTTAATGGGAATCCAGTCGAGCAGTGCAGCTTCGGCTCTAGCGCTCAGTGCGACACCGACACCAGCTACGCCGGATGCCGACGCCACAGGGTCCCCGGATAAGCGCAGGTGGTACATACTACTAGAACTTCCAGATGGAGAGGATAGTCGAAGCACTTCACTGGGATCTTGAATGCGGGTCTCCGAAATGCAGCAGACATCGATAGCGAGGCTTTCCAAAGTTCTTGCCAACCCTGCCTGTTGTCCGATTTGCATCAGCGTCCGAACATTGTAGGTAGCCAGCTTGAACGCAGCATGCGGTTTCAGGATATCCGTGTTAGATGTCACATTGGGAACAACCATTTTGAGGACTACTCACTAACATCTCGAAACGACACGGATAGGCTGGGAATCTCGACAAAGGCGAAAGGCTGTCGAAGGTTAACAAGCCAAGGTTAGAAAAGGTACAACACAGGAAACTATGTATAAAAATAAAAGTAGGATAAGAAGGAAATAAGTTCCCTGAGGGATCAATATTGCTTGGAATCATTTTAACTAGGCGCGTTGAGTTTCAATGGGAGTTCGTTGCTTTAATTCATTCATTGTGTGCGGGCTGAGATACTGCCCGGGCGCCCAGACCGAAGCAGGTGGCTTTATTAAGGGACCACCCCCGAGCCTTTGACTTGGAGTCTAATCCGCAAGGCAGCGGAGCAGCGTCAGGAGCTGCATTCCCATGATTGCCGGTGACCCATGTGGGTTCATAAGCCATTTGATCCGATTGGAAACTGGAGCCCATGTACCCCATGGTAACTGCTTTTAGTTTAACCGCTATCCAGAAAACCTTCCTGACATGGTAGGACCTGTGGAGACAGAGTCCCAGTCAGTTCAGCTTGTTGGGTCATTGCGGTATTCAAGCCCGACCACCACGACAAGGTAGCAGTTATCGGCCGGGTATTGAGCGAAGACAACTGTTAATGAAGTTCTGAATTTTGTTTGAGATGCTCTTTATGACGCGCCAAGTCTCTGATCCGTATAGTAGCACTGACTTCACATTGGAGTTGAAAATCCAGATGTTATTTTTGATGGTGAGTGCTGTTGACCTTCACACAGACTTGAGAGTAATGAAAGCTTGTCTTGCTTAGCCAAATCAAATTATACCTTAAGTTTCTGTATCTGTGTAATGAAATCCAGGAATTTCCAGTGTTTAAATGCTGTGGGAATAATACATTAATAGAAGTTATTAAACTGGCATATGCGAGGGAATCTTGACACATATACTTCCAGAATTTGCAGTAATTAGTAACATCAGTAAATAATAGTACTTGTCTGCAAAGTTTAATTTCTTCGGCTAGGACACGGGGGACAGATTTATGATTGAATACTCGGTATAGCCGGTCAGTTTTACTGACACATTCATACATATTTTTGCATTACCTTATAATTTATTTCATCTGTACAATAGCTAATGTTATAACTTGTTCTATTGATGTACTGACATTCGTAATACGCATATAGCAAAGCAATATGATATCGTGTCACATTTAACTGTTAGCAGCGGGTAAAAAAGATGAAGGAATAATAAGTTTACTTAGAGTCGACATTCACCAACTGGTTTCGAGACCTGGCATCTGATTAATATTCAACGTAAACAGAAAAAATTTATAAACTTTTGCGTATATGGTCACAAGAATTGTTTTTGTTTGATTTCATAATCTTCAATTGAAAATATTGGTTAATATATTCCTTATTGATTAACTCATTCTTGTTTCATGAAATCTTTATCAGGTTTCCATTAAATGACGTCCGAACACTTAGGGGTTGTTGACGCGCTTCCATACTTCGATAAAGGATATGATGATCCTGGAATAAGAGAAGCTGCAGCTCTTCTAGTCGAAGAGGAGATGAAACGATACAGGCCGACAAAAAACTATTTGGAACATCTTCCCTCTTTATCGGGACCGATTCAAATGAAGTTCGAAACTGAGGTGATGAAAGCTGAGTTTGACAGGCTCTCCAACCGTCTACCAATGGAAATGTTAAGTATGAAACGTTACGAGTTGCCGCCGCCCCCTGCTGGAAAAATGACCGACGTGAAAGCTTGGCAAGACGCAATGGAGAATGCTGAAGTAATGTATTTTATATTGTTAAGTGACTCTTCGAATAGGCACAGTTAGAACATCAAGCAACAAGAATTGAAAATCTCGAATTAATGGCCGAATATGGATGCAATGCTTGGAAACAGTACAACAATGTTTTAGAAAACTCTCTGCAAATTTACGAGAAAGAGCTCTTGGAAATAAGGTGACTTATTATTTACATATAATGAATGTGGTAATCTAAGCTTTTGTATTGTAATGCATTTACTGAAAGATGTTAAACATTCTACGGAAATTATTAATTTATAAATAATTGAGAAAATGAGTGACATATTCGCCAAAACTGTTTAACATGTGAAAAAAATCCAGTCTTTACTGATAAATTTGTGAAAAATGCAGCAACAGTAAGGGAGTTTACTGTTACTATTACTACCATGCAGAAAAAAAGATTTTTGTGATGTCGACGGAAATAGAGTCAGGATCCATAGGGTGTTGGATACCTTCAGTACTTTCTTCTGCACAATCAGTGGCCATCTTTACATCTTAATTCATTAAAAATAAAATTATGATTCAATATTTTACAAATCCTTCGTAATAAGTTAGATCCACTTCACATTTGCCATCATGAAAGTACTTAAAGGTGTATATTCGAATAAAAACCTAGAAAAGAAATCAAAAGGCCACTCATTTATTATGCATGACAATTTTAGTCATCTGATATTAAAGCAAGATGCACTTAAGCGTCATGATCCTACTAATTCATTAAAAACCTACGTTCAAACATGAGAAACAAACTTTTATGATTTATAACACAAATGATATAAATGGGAAGATAATGTAGCGGGAGTCAATCAATCATGTGAACTACTCAAAATAAATACCATAAACCAGACAAGTAACAGACCTAGGTCTATCAGCGCAGAACGTCGTACCATATACCTAGCCAGTCCAACTTCCCTTAGCAGCTTTCTGTTCGAAGTCTCAATTTTGGAAGTTAATTAAGTATTATCTCATTGAAGGGTCATTCCACTTAGAATACCTTTTCCAAAGCTGATCAACTAGATGAACTGAAGTGGTTGACTACTACCGGTTAACGATGTCCATCCCATTTCCTTAGCTTCTCTTACCCACTAATTCTTACCTAAAAGCTTACGTCAACTTAAGTTTCCGTTATGCGTTTTCGGGCCAGATGTTTAGTAAAGTTGCCTCCAAATACAGAACACGGTACTATTTGCAAGCTGAACGCCAGGGGTGTTAAAACAAGAAAGGGAATAACAGGTAGTTCAGCAAGGAGATAATTTTAGCAAGTTCCTCATTTTTTCACTGTCAGACCAACCGCGGTCATATAGATCTACGAAGTAATGAACATTCAGAATCCACACCAGTCCTTCTTTAAATCCAGATTAGTATCAGATCAACGAACGCTATGCTGTTACAGGTCATAAAAAACTGCCCCCTAAAAACCTAGCGGTTCACACACAAAACAAGCAGATTTTTCATCTTAAAAGTAATTCAGACTTATATAACCAACAATTATAAATAATTGACAGACATCACAAACAGATTATGCTTCATAAATTTCTCACAATTTTATTACACCTACGTTAAAAAAAATCAAAAAACTGAACTCAGAGCTCACAGTATAGGTGAACTACAAAGTTACCGTGAACACGTAAATATATGCATTGTCTGTTGCGACCGAAAAGCATTCTGTTCAGACTGGTGTTCTATATGCAACACTTCAGGCATCTTGGAAATAAGTCCAACCCACAAAAATCTGTGACACCAAAATTAGCAATTTTGAAGAAGGTTTGTCCAAAACCCTGTTGGAATGCTGAGGAATGAAAAGTCTCTGATGAAGTGGAACAATGAAATGTTAGAAACGAGTCTACTGAACGATTACAAACTAGGACCCTGTACTTACTTCGAGACTAAGCCCGTCCAAAAACTCAGGCTCAACCTTGGTAACCTGCACTAGTGCAAAACTGATGAACACACTTGACGAATTCGAAAGGCGAATATTAAATCATAGGCACTTATCATGAAGACTCACCATAACAAATTCGCATTCAAATATTAGTTTCACTAAGAAACCAGAATTCTCACCGTCAACAACTCCGGTGCTTCGATCGGATAAAAATATCATCGCACTCATTTTAATGGGTAATAATCAGAGTCAAATAACCTATCATCTTACAAATGAATAAGCATCTACAGATGGAATCCAGAAGCAAAGAGTGTGAAACTTTGGTTTGCATCCAGATTCTTAAAGACAAACAGGACCAGGGCTGTGACGGTAACTAGTCCGTCCGAAAATTCACTTTACTCATCAGTCTGTCACTCACTGAAGCTGTTAGTTGATGCTTATGATAACATCAGAGTTAGGGTCAAGCTGAGAAATTGTTGGGGTTAAGTTGTAGGAATATTAGGATTGTTTGAGGCTGGATTGTGGTAAATTAAGGAAAGATGTGAGCCACAGTTAGATGAGAAAGGCGTAGACGCCGGACTAAGGTTATTCAGTGATATATTCTGGTTAGGGTTGAATAAAAGACCTAAATTAACCCTCTGATTTCGGCTGTTACTTTCAAGGTCTCTGGTGCGTCCGTCCCTTTGGAACACTATCCATCAACTTTGCCACGATATAACAATATTTTTCTATCCAATATCGAAAATACTTGCAATCTGAATGTAGTGGACCACTTATCGAATGATGCCAAGCAATGAACCTTGAGTCTTCGCGCCTAAGTCAACTTGTTACGTACTCCACAAACTTTTCTCGTTGCTATAGTCTTTCGCTCTGCTCGCAGGATTGTTCCCCCCTTTGTGGTTTAGTGTGGGCTGTTGGGCAGTGTGTTCGCTTTCCTGTTTTTCAGGTGAAGCTGCCTCCGAGCTTCAGTTGTCACAATTTGTCCGATGAGGTCAGTTTCAGTCCGTTCGTTGTATAACATGTATATATAAGCAAACGCAAGTGTTTAATCAATTAAATTTAACTAATTAAGCACTTGCGTTCACTATGTTTATTCTTTATAAGTTACCGCAATAATATAAGAGGATGAACGCCCATTATTGTCTGTCTTTTATCCCTCTTAGCGAATCTAAGCGCGGAAGGAAATCTATCATGGGTCTTCTAGACCTAACAAACATCATTGATTCCTCACCAGAAAGTGCCGACTCGGGTGGAACTCTCAGAAGGTCCTTGAGATTACGCCGCAAATCCATATCTGCAGCGTCCCATGGTGAACAAACACACCCATCTAAAAGATATAGTCGAAAGTCAGTGATTAATCCGCAAACTCATGTAAGTGCGTCTGCTACGTTGAGTAAGTCGCCTATGTTTATTTTTTTCATTCCTTCACAGTCCCAGTGGAACATAGGGCCTCAAGCTTGAGGCTTGAAGTTTCTGTAGCAGCGTTTATTTTTACAGGATGGGGTCCCCAGCAGAATGGCAAGGGTTTAATACTAAACACATGTTCAACGTCAAATTACTTTGGGTGTGCAAGAATGAAAATAAGTCAGCACACCAATATAAGACGACAGCACGTGGGAATACTGAAGACTTTGAATGGAAATTACATACATGTCTTAGATGTTTAATTTTAAAGCTCTTGTTGAAGATAAATGCCTGGAAAGGAAGATAAAGTACGAAATTGCCACTGACACGATCCATATCAAGAATCAGCTTTTCTGCAACCAATGGTACAGACGACTTTAACTTCACAGGCATTTACGTCAAGCCTTCTTATGCTTCGTCTTGCTTACAAATATGTCGTTAATTGCATTTTGAACGCTCCAGTGTCCATGGAGCTCTCCCTTACACAGAATGCATACTTCTAACAGTTTAGAGCTACTATCGTGTGTGACACCATTCAAAAAGTCATAAGATATTCCCTCAGAGAAAATCTCTGATGATTCCTGGATCTGAAATCTTATTTTCCCTACTCAATAAATCATGCATGCGCATAAGTCAAGGGGGTTCAAGGTGTCACACTTACTCTTACCTAATGCACCACATTGCTCCCTCACTTGCATTAACCGCCACACCAATATCCAATGCCCAAAATCGATCTTTACGAGCTATTGTAAGCCAATTTGACTTCTTTGTGTTCGCTTTTTGGTCATGTGATAAAATGGACCACCATGTTATCATTTTAACGTATGCACTGTCTTTGATTGCATAGATGAATTACATGTCTGTTAATTTACGTATATCAGTTCTGATATATATAGATATCCGATTTCAAATAGTTATTCCATTCGTTAACCGTCGCTAGCTTTCGCGAAATCGCTCACTTCTGTCCACTTTGAGTACCCAGTCGCCTTGTGTGAGAACCAAGCATTTTGATTTAGTTGTCATTGATATAAATAGCCCCTTTCTCCTCATCTCTCCTTGTTCATCAGTCGTACAAATCTATAGTGCACATTTAAGTTGGTTTTCCGTTAGTCTGTGTGACGGTTCGAGCACATGCCCATTTGAAGTTCATTGTCTTGCTCTAAGATATGCTCGGCGTGCACCTCTTGTAGATTGAATTTTGTTGATGTATCATATTGTATTTCAAAAGCCACTATTTTCGTCGTCTTGGTTCTCGAATTAATAGGACGTACAAACTGAATAGCTATTAGCTAGGTACATCAGAGTATGCTTTACATTGCTAGTATCTTCAACTATGTGTAATATATGGTACTAATCCACACTTAAATTAATATTCTTTTTTTGTAGACGAATGCAGTTTATGACGCATCGTGCAATTCTTCTCATTCGCCTGCCCAGAATGAAAATAATATACCAATTACGGATATTTCTGCACAGTCATGCTTTACTGCGTCACCTGATAAGATATCTGTCTTATCGCAAGATAAATTGGAAAATGTCAGACCTCAAAGTCCTCTGCACATACCATCAGACATTGCAAATGTCTATCTTCCTAATAAGTATACTCCCCCAAAACACAGGGGTTTGCCAACTATTTTCGAGAATTCAGTTAAAAAAAATCAACGCTACCATAAGTTATGCAGAAACACTGAACGTTCCCCCTTAAGAAGGCAGATATTTACAGGACTAACACTCGAAGAAGCATGCAACCCTACAGGTCCCGGCGTCGCCCCTCTGGATCCAGATCTTGTCTTATCAACAACACGCAAGCGTATCGCAAAGCGCCGAAAGCTTGCCAAGAAGTTAGGATTTAAAGGCATTACCATATCCAAGAAAACTGAGAAAAGCTTCAGCAAATTCGTTTTAGAATCAGCTTTAAATTCTTCTCAAAGTAGTTCGACTTCTGATTGAGTGGAGAAAACTTTCGTAGACTCCTCTGTGTAAGAGTCTGTTTCACTCCCTACTGCGTCTTTCAATAAAATATATTGTATTAGGTTTTTTAAATGTATATTTACCGCTTTGTTCCTGAACATCTATGGCATTTTACTGTTTGTGGAAAGATTTTATATTTATGTACCATTAACTTTAACTGTTTTTAACTTCCTACTATTGTACAGTAAACACTTGATTGATACAGTAAACTAAACCTTGTTTTAACCGAAATATTTGCTTCTCACTTTTGCCGTTTAGACCTACGGCTAATTGATTAAGGTGCTTGGATTTCAGCCACTGGTGTGTGAACTCGAACAGAACCAACCCTTGGATGTAACTAATGAACGTGTGTAATTAAATGCAAGTGGTTGTTGAGCAATCTCCCTCTTCCAAAACTGAACATTAGAATCTACGCGAAAAGATCCAAATAACATAAGGGTTGTTTGGACATTTGAAAATTGAGAAAATATCTGCAATTGTTCGCAGTAAAGCTTAAGTGACTTTCTTAAAGTTACATAGTGACTTGTCGTTGTTAAACATTGTCATTTAAAAGATCTGGTCTTGCTTACATTATACGTCTGCTTTTTTAATTATGTTAAGGTGAAACAACAATCGGATCATGATAAAATGATATTAGTTGATTTTCTGTTTTAAAGAAACTGATAATGAATTGAAGTAGTTGCAGTATGAGAATATGAGGACCAAATACTTCAACATAACAGGAAAGTACTGACCCCATAATTGAAAACTGCAGAATTTTTATGAATGTTTGATCAGCATATGGTAAAGTTGTCTAGGTATTGATATAAATACCTTGAGCATTGAAGTTAATGGCATGAGTTAATGTGCAGTTCAACTTAGATTTCTCGTTTTACTGGTTTGTGTTGCCAATCTTTTCCTAATATGGTAATTTTTTTCCTTTTTAGTAGTGCTTTTTGTGAATATATTTCATAATTAATTGTTCTCTTTGTTCCCTACTCGGCATTACTATGAGCTCCACTCATGTCGTTTTGCTAGCGTAATTTCCTTCTATTCATCAAGTGGTAGATATCTTAATTTGTTTATACATTTTTGGCTCTACGAACGTTTTGATTGCAACGATCTTCGTTCAGCTTTTCATAATGTAGGCATTCTTATAAATAGCTCTGTTCACTTCCCTACTCAGGTTTCAGTCAAGTCAGTCAATAATTTTCTGTGAATTACAATTTGTGGATATTTCTTACTTATTTTGATAAAGTCAACTAAGAAAGTGTCGAAATTGTATTAACTTTTAATCTTAGAAGTTGGGTATTACTAATCAGTAAAATACAACAGAAATTTCTTAAAGTATTGCTTCTAATCCTTATTTCATACAGGCAATAAGAGTAGTGACCAAATACTAACTGTCGTTTTTCTAGTGCAAAGAAATTACTCCAATATTTGCATCCCTTGTAATGCGTGTTGTAAGAAGACATTAGGTGACTCATTCCCAATTGTTTGTGTATTTACCATTTACTTGTTAACAAAAAGAAAACATTTCAGGCATATCTTAGCAAGTTTTGATTTAAGTCATTGAGAAGTAACTTCACAGTCTGGAAAAAATAATCACGTGACAGCTGTAGTAACTCAAAGCATTATTCACTATTGTAGTTGACTCACACTGCAACTGAATGTTCGTCTTCTCGGAGTATGCGATAGTCGGTATAAAGGTGAATGATGGACCTCTGTCAATTTGAGATATATAGCGCCAGCCAATGACATCGGCGAGTATTTGATTGCCACTTATGGTTTAATTTAGGTCACCATGTGTGGTCAGAATAATTTAGATATCCTAAACGAACTGTGGTGAAATCTTGTCTCGAAATGTGCACCTGCCTGAATTCGAACTTTCTGATAATGAGCCTTTTTTCAACATGTGCCATTTTTTTACTTTTTGCACATTGGCTAAGCACAGCGCTCGGTTAAATCGGAGAACGTTATTTGTATCTCTTCCACAAATCCTGTTACTAATCAAGACAAGATCTCACTGTTGACAACTTGGACACGTATTCACTCGCTCCTGTAGACTAATGTACATGAACCGTACCAACAATTGTCTGTGTTGTACGGTAACGACAGAAGACAAGGGAATTTAATAACAGAATTATTTATTGGCAAGTCGATACACAATTATAGGCAAAATACGTATGTATTAGAATCACAATTTGTATATATGTTCCATAGTGTGCGTCTTTGTCTTCGTTTCATGTTTTCCATGTTGTTTCACAAGCATCATTCCTTAAATCCATCTCTCTGCTAGTCGAAATTCTTGCAGATGACACACACATTCAAGTATGCATCTATGTACTACTTATAAATCCTGTCAGTAGCACACGCCACACTGCTTACCTATTTCCAATCCCCATACTGTATGAACTAGTAAATACTATTTATCTGGTCACTTTACCACTTGAAACCAATTTGATTTTACTTACGTAGTCATATAAATGTCAGAAAATTTATTCGTCACATGCCTGTCTAATAATATTACGACAACAACTCATAATTTTTAAGGACATGAATAGTATTTCTTAAGAAGAATAATCTTTGTTCAGACAAACTTATGAGGTTTATAGCCATGGTATTTAAATATCCCATTGAGTGGAAGATGGCTATGTAGGATTCATTAATTTACCCATACATCAAAGGTATGATTACATCAGCATTCACAAATCATTATATTATTATCCTACCTTGGACATAGAATTGCCAACAGATATCGCCTTAAACATTTCAGTGCTTTTCTTCAGTTTAATGTTTCATATGTATGATATGTTTTGTTATGGATTAGGTTGGTGATCTGTCACCTATCTTTATCGAGACTCGCGAATTTAAGTGAAGTGCCGTCCGTCCTATTTGGGATTTTTCAGCCAGTAGTAGATTTGCATTAAAGGAGAATAGAAGAAGGCAAACTACACACTAGTGTTTATAGAAAACCAACGCATTCTAATAGATATTTCGACTTTAATTCGTCTCATCCTTTAACTGTTAAGGCAGGCTTAGTTAAATGTTTAACAAACCGAGCAGTGGCACTAAGTAGCACAAAAAAAGATCTAAATGATGAATTAAAACAGATAGAAGAAGTGTTGGTGTTGAATAACTATCCTATAAAATTCATTAGGAAGATCATTAAAGGCCAAAAACAAAATAAAAATAATTGTGAAACTAGTAATAATAACATAAATAAGAAAGAATATAAGTCATCCACAGTTATACCATATAAAGAGGGGACATCTGAGACACTACGTAGGATTCTGAATAAAATAGGAATTAGGGTGGCATTTAAACCTACAAACTCACTCAGGGACAACCTCTGTAGGTTAAAGGACCCAGTTGACCCAATCAGACAAAATAATATTATTTACAAAATACCATGCAATGACTGTGAGGTAAACTACATAGGTCAAACTAGTAGGTCACGGGTAGTCAGATTGTCAGAGCATAAAAATTTAGCTAAGGTAAGAATGGTTGACCCCGGGAAGATAAGTAATTTAGAAAAAAGCTCAGCAATTGCAATGCATGCGCTAACACACAACCACACAATAGGGTGGGAGAGGGTTAAAATTCTAAAAAGTAATCTAGGTAGGTGGAGAGAGAGGTTGATTACTGAATCCTTGTTCATCGAGTCTACATATGTAATAGGAATGACTCGTCACTCATACCTGAAATATGGAAAATAATATTACCAATCAAATCAAGTGAAAATCAAGAGAAAAACAATGGAACTATATAAATGAATTTAGGAAGTCGTGTGATTACCTTGATATGATTATGAGCAAAAAATTGTGCTCGAAACGTCATCAGTAAACATTACTGTATAACGCTGTGAGACTTTATGAAACAAAATTTACCCATAATGGAATTAAATTCCCTTGTCTTCTGTCGTTACCGTACAACACAGACAATTGTTGGTACGGTTCATGTACATTAGTCTACAGGAGCGAGTGAATACGTGTCCAAGTTGTCAACAGTGAGATCTTGTCTTGATTAGTAACAGGATTTGTGGAAGAGATACAAATAACGTTCTCCGATTTAACCGAGCGCTGTGCTTAGCCAATGTTCAAAAAGTAAAAAAATGGCACATGTTGAAAAAAGGCTCATTATCAGAAAGTTCGAATTCAGGCAGGTGCACATTTCGAGACAAGATTTCACCACAGTTCGTTTAGGATATCTAAATTATTCTGACCACACATGGTGACCTAAATTAAACCATAAGTGGCAATCAAATACTCGCCGATGTCATTGGCTGGCGCTATATATCTCAAATTGACAGAGGTCCATCATTCACCTTTATACCGACTATCGCATACTCCGAGAAGACGAACATTCAGTTGCAGTGTGAGTCAACTACAATAGTGAATAATGCTTTGAGTTACTACAGCTGTCACGTGATTATTTTTTCCAGACTGTGAAGTTACTTCTCAATGACTTAAATCAAAACTTGCTAAGATATGCCTGAAATGTTTTCTTTTTGTTAACAAGTAAATGGTAAATACACAAACAATTGGGAATGAGTCACCTAATGTCTTCTTACAACACGCATTACAAGGGATGCAAATATTGGAGTAATTTCTTTGCACTAGAAAAACGACAGTTAGTATTTGGTCACTACTCTTATTGCCTGTATGAAATAAGGATTAGAAGCAATACTTTAAGAAATTTCTGTTGTATTTTACTGATTAGTAATACCCAACTTCTAAGATTAAAAGTTAATACAATTTCGACACTTTCTTAGTTGACTTTATCAAAATAAGTAAGAAATATCCACAAATTGTAATTCACAGAAAATTATTGACTGGTGTTACTTGACTGAAACCTGAGTAGGGAAGTGAACAGAGCTATTTATAAGAATGCCTACATTATGAAAAGCTGAACGAAGATCGTTGCAATCAAAACGTTCGTAGAGCCAAAAATGTATAAACAAATTAAGATATCTACCACTTGATGAATAGAAGGAAATTACGCTAGCAAAACGACATGAGTGGAGCTCAAATAGTAATGCCGAGTAGGGAACAAAGAGAACAATTAATTATGAAATATATTCACAAAAAGCACTACTAAAAAGGAAAAAAATTACCATATTAGGAAAAGATTGGCAACACAAACCAGTAAAACGAGAAATCTAAGTTGAACTGCACATTAACTCATGCCATTAACTTCAATGCTCAAGGTATTTATATCAATACCTAGACAACTTTACCATATGCTGATCAAACATTCATAAAAATTCTGCAGTTTTCAATTATGGGGTCAGTACTTTCCTGTTATGTTGAAGTATTTGGTCCTCATATTCTCATACTGCAACTACTTCAATTCATTATCAGTTTCTTTAAAACAGAAAATCAACTAATATCATTTTATCATGATCCGATTGTTGTTTCACCTTAACATAATTAAAAAAGCAGACGTATAATGTAAGCAAGACCAGATCTTTTAAATGACAATGTTTAACAACGACAAGTCACTATGTAACTTTAAGAAAGTCACTTAAGCTTTACTGCAGACAATTGCAGATATTTTCTCAATTTTCAAATGTCCAAACAACCCTTATGTTATTTGGATCTTTTCGCGTAGATTCTAATGTTCAGTTTTGGAAGAGGGAGATTGCTCAACAACCACTTGCATTTAATTACACACGTTCATTAGTTACATCCAAGGGTTGGTTCTGTTCGAGTTCACACACCAGTGGCTGAAATCCAAGCACCTTAATCAATTAGCCGTAGGTCTAAACGGCAAAAGTGAGAAGCAAATATTTCGGTTAAAACAAGGTTTAGTTTACTGTATCAATCAAGTGTTTACTGTACAATAGTAGGAAGTTAAAAACAGTTAAAGTTAATGGTACATAAATATAAAATCTTTCCACAAACAGTAAAATGCCATAGATGTTCAGGAACAAAGCGGTAAATATACATTTAAAAAACCTAATACAATATATTTTATTGAAAGACGCAGTAGGGAGTGAAACAGACTCTTACACAGAGGAGTCTACGAAAGTTTTCTCCACTCAATCAGAAGTCGAACTACTTTGAGAAGAATTTAAAGCTGATTCTAAAACGAATTTGCTGAAGCTTTTCTCAGTTTTCTTGGATATGGTAATGCCTTTAAATCCTAACTTCTTGGCAAGCTTTCGGCGCTTTGCGATACGCTTGCGTGTTGTTGATAAGACAAGATCTGGATCCAGAGGGGCGACGCCGGGACCTGTAGGGTTGCATGCTTCTTCGAGTGTTAGTCCTGTAAATATCTGCCTTCTTAAGGGGGAACGTTCAGTGTTTCTGCATAACTTATGGTAGCGTTGATTTTTTTTAACTGAATTCTCGAAAATAGTTGGCAAACCCCTGTGTTTTGGGGGAGTATACTTATTAGGAAGATAGACATTTGCAATGTCTGATGGTATGTGCAGAGGACTTTGAGGTCTGACATTTTCCAATTTATCTTGCGATAAGACAGATATCTTATCAGGTGACCCAGTAAAGCATGACTGTGCAGAAATATCCGTAATTGGTATATTATTTTCATTCTGGGCAGGCGAATGAGAAGAATTGCACGATGCGTCATAAACTGCATTCGTCTACAAAAAAAGAATATTAATTTAAGTGTGGATTAGTACCATATATTACACATAGTTGAAGATACTAGCAATGTAAAGCATACTCTGATGTACCTAGCTAATAGCTATTCAGTTTGTACGTCCTATTAATTCGAGAACCAAGACGACGAAAATAGTGGCTTTTGAAATACAATATGATACATCAACAAAATTCAATCTACAAGAGGTGCACGCCGAGCATATCTTAGAGCAAGACAATGAACTTCAAATGGGCATGTGCTCGAACCGTCACACAGACTAACGGAAAACCAACTTAAATGTGCACTATAGATTTGTACGACTGATGAACAAGGAGAGATGAGGAGAAAGGGGCTATTTATATCAATGACAACTAAATCAAAATGCTTGGTTCTCACACAAGGCGACTGGGTACTCAAAGTGGACAGAAGTGAGCGATTTCGCGAAAGCTAGCGACGGTTAACGAATGGAATAACTATTTGAAATCGGATATCTATATATATCAGAACTGATATACGTAAATTAACAGACATGTAATTCATCTATGCAATCAAAGACAGTGCATACGTTAAAATGATAACATGGTGATCCATTTTATCACATGACCAAAAAGCGAACACAAAGAAGTCAAATTGGCTTACAATAGCTCGTAAAGATCGATTTTGGGCATTGGATATTGGTCTGGCGGTTAATGCAAGTGAGGGAGCAATGTGGTGCATTAGGTAAGAGTAAGTGTGACACCTTGAACCCCCTTGACTTATGCGCATGTATGATTTATTGAGTAGGGAAAATAAGATTTCAGATCCAGGAATCATCAGAGATTTTCTCTGAGGGAATATCTTATGACTTTTTGAATGGTGTCACACACGATAGTAGCTCTAAACTGTTAGAAGTATGCATTCTGTGTAAGGGAGAGCTCCATGGACACTGGAGCGTTCAAAATGCAATTAACGACATATTTGTAAGCAAGACGAAGCATAAGAAGGCTTGACGTAAATGCCTGTGAAGTTAAAGTCGTCTGTACCATTGGTTGCAGAAAAGCTGATTCTTGATATGGATCGTGTCAGTGGCAATTTCGTACTTTATCTTCCTTTCCAGGCATTTATCTTCAACAAGAGCTTTAAAATTAAACATCTAAGACATGTATGTAATTTCCATTCAAAGTCTTCAGTATTCCCACGTGCTGTCGTCTTATATTGGTGTGCTGACTTATTTTCATTCTTGCACACCCAAAGTAATTTGACGTTGAACATGTGTTTAGTATTAAACCCTTGCCATTCTGCTGGGGACCCCATCCTGTAAAAATAAACGCTGCTACAGAAACTTCAAGCCTCAAGCTTGAGGCCCTATGTTCCACTGGGACTGTGAAGGAATGAAAAAAATAAACATAGGCGACTTACTCAACGTAGCAGACGCACTTACATGAGTTTGCGGATTAATCACTGACTTTCGACTATATCTTTTAGATGGGTGTGTTTGTTCACCATGGGACGCTGCAGATATGGATTTGCGGCGTAATCTCAAGGACCTTCTGAGAGTTCCACCCGAGTCGGCACTTTCTGGTGAGGAATCAATGATGTTTGTTAGGTCTAGAAGACCCATGATAGATTTCCTTCCGCGCTTAGATTCGCTAAGAGGGATAAAAGACAGACAATAATGGGCGTTCATCCTCTTATATTATTGCGGTAACTTATAAAGAATAAACATAGTGAACGCAAGTGCTTAATTAGTTAAATTTAATTGATTAAACACTTGCATTCGCTTATATATACATGTTATACAACGAACGGACTGAAACTGACCTCATCGGACAAATTGTGACAACTGAAGCTCGGAGGCAGCTTCACCTGAAAAACAGGAAAGCGAACACACTGCCCAACAGCCCACACTAAACCACAAAGGGGGGAACAATCCTGCGAGCAGAGCGAAAGACTATAGCAACGAGAAAAGTTTGTGGAGTACGTAACAAGTTGACTTAGGCGCGAAGACTCAAGGTTCATTGCTTGGCATCATTCGATAAGTGGTCCACTACATTCAGATTGCAAGTATTTTCGATATTGGATAGAAAAATATTGTTATATCGTGGCAAAGTTGATGGATAGTGTTCCAAAGGGACGGACGCACCAGAGACCTTGAAAGTAACAGCCGAAATCAGAGGGTTAATTTAGGTCTTTTATTCAACCCTAACCAGAATATATCACTGAATAACCTTAGTCCGGCGTCTACGCCTTTCTCATCTAACTGTGGCTCACATCTTTCCTTAATTTACCACAATCCAGCCTCAAACAATCCTAATATTCCTACAACTTAACCCCAACAATTTCTCAGCTTGACCCTAACTCTGATGTTATCATAAGCATCAACTAACAGCTTCAGTGAGTGACAGACTGATGAGTAAAGTGAATTTTCGGACGGACTAGTTACCGTCACAGCCCTGGTCCTGTTTGTCTTTAAGAATCTGGATGCAAACCAAAGTTTCACACTCTTTGCTTCTGGATTCCATCTGTAGATGCTTATTCATTTGTAAGATGATAGGTTATGTGACTCTGATTATTACCCCTTAAAATGAATGCGATGATATTTTTATCCGATCGAAGCACTGGAGTTGTTGACGGTGAGAATTCTGGTTTCTTAGTGAAACTAATATTTGAATGCGAATTTGTTATGGTGAGTCTTCATGATAAGTGCCTATGATTTAATATTCGCCTTTCGAATTCGTCAAGTGTGTTCATCAGTTTTGCATTAGTGCAGGTTACCAAGGTTGAGTCTGAGTTTTTGGACGGGCTTAGTCTCGAAGTAAGTACAGGGTCCTAGTTTGTAATCGTTCAGTAGACTCGTTTCTAACATTTCATTGTTCCACTTCATCAGAGACTTTTCATTCCTCAGCATTCCAACAAGGTTTTGGACAAACCTTCTTCAAAATTGCTAATTTTGGTGTCACAGATTTTTGTGGGTTGGGCTTATTTCCAAGATGCCTGAAGTGTTGCATATAGAACACCAGTCTGAACAGAATGCTTTTCGGTCGCAACAGACAATGCATATATATACGTGTTCACGACAAGTAGGAAGTGTTGCGTTAGCTGATCAGTAGATATGGTGGGGGTCACTAAGGTTAATCGCCCCATTCTGCAGGAACTGCAATATACCAATTAAAGGCTCGATATATTTCTGATTTTTATGAGGGCTTAGATCTTTATCTTGAAAAAGATAATGATGAACGCCTTGACAGATCATGCTTCTACCTTTAAATATATACCATTCGCTCAGCCTATTGTTGAGACGCGACCACGCGGGATCTGCACAGATTTATGGGGCATCTTATAAACTAACTTGCTGTCCATTGTCGGATCTTTAAATACCACTTCACAATGTCTTATCTCATTCATTTTCTAATAATGTCTTCACCTGATCCTCATTATATTCCATTAAACCTAACATTTTATAGCTTCTTATGAATTTGATTCGACTTATTCTATTCCTATTCTCTGTAGGGTACGGTTGTGCACTAAATAGACGAAAAAGCATGAAATAAAGACAACTGGCTCGAAAATAATTGTATTAAAGCCAAAAGTGGACATCATGATATTACGAGATATACGTGTAGCATTATGCATTGCAAATGAACGTTGTCAGCCTAGGGAGTTTCCTTTATTAATGCATTTATTAGTGATACTTGCACTTACCCATTTCATTACACTTTATTGATTCACCTTAGCACTTTTACTTTTCTAAAACAGCTTTGAATCCCTTGTAGAGGTTGTACTTACCTCAATATTGGTTGGTTATCGAATGCCGACAGCCACGGGATGAAAACGAAACGAAGTCGATTTTCCCGCTCAACCTGGAGGACAACTGTACAATTCAATAACTATACAGCCTAGTTCAGACAATGTGTATTTATATATATATATCAAATATTTAACTGTTGAAGCATTATTAACTTGTAGACGATCTACGATTTGATATTATATCATACTTGATCGTGCCTGTAAAAATGGCATGCATTTTCATGTAAATCTATGTTTATATGAGAAAATACATTATTATTATTATAATCCCTGTCTCACCTGGCCGGAACCATATTGCCTATAATGGCTTCCTTGTAGCCAATAGTGGGGGTTAGCCAGGTTCAGTCAGGAGTGTTATATTTAAGGATAGGGATGATTGGAGGTTTCTGAGTAAGTCTACATCTTCCCTCAGTCCTCTCACATTGCTATATAGACAGCTGAGAGAAAGTCTCACCACCGCAGTGTGTTGTTAGGTAGTTGAGGCTATGTGGGTTGTTGATAGAGTGTTTAATATCGGAACCAGTTGGCCGATTCCCATAGAAATGTCTGTAATTCAGTGTCACAACGCATCGGTGAACTACAAAGTTATAATAATAATAATATATATATATTCTCATATAAACATATAAATTTACATGAAAATGCATGCCATTTTTACAGGCACGATCAAGTATGATATAATATCAAATCGTAGATCGTCTACAAGTTAATAATGCTTCAACAGTTAAATATTTGATATATATATATAAATACACATTGTCTGAACTAGGCTGTATAGTTATTGAATTGTACAGTTGTCCTCCAGGTTGAGCGGGAAAATCGACTTCGTTTCGTTTTCATCCCGTGGTTGTCGGCATTCGATAACCAACCAATATTGAGGTAAGTACAACCTTTACAAGGGATTCAAAGCTGTTTTAGAAAAGTAAAAGTGCTAAGGTGAATCAATAAAGTGTAATGAAATGGGTAAGTGCAAGTATCACTAATAAATGCATTAATAAAGGAAACTCCCTAGGCTGACAACGTTCATTTGCAATGTATAATGCTACACGTATATCTCGTAATATCATGATGTCCACTTTTGGCTTTAATACAATTATTTTCGAGCCAGTTGTCTTTATTTCATGCTTTTTCGTCTATTTAGTGCACAACCGTACCCTACAGAGAATAGGAATAGAATAAGTCGAATCAAATTCATAAGAAGCTATAAAATGTTAGGTTTAATGGAATATAATGAGGATCAAGTAAAGACGTTATTAGAAAATGAATGAGATAAGACATTGTGAAGTGGTATTTAAAGATCCGACAATGGACAGCAAGTTAGTTTATAAGATGCCCCATAAATCTGTGCAGATCCCACGTGGTCGCATCTCAACAATAGGCTGAGCGAATGGTATATATTTAAAGGTAGAAGCATGATCTGTCAAGGCGTTCATTATTATCTTTTTCAAGATAAAGATCTAAGCCCTCATAAAAATCAGAAATATCTCGAGCCTTTAATTTGTATATTGCTGTTCCTGCAGAATGGGGCGATTCACCTTAGTGACCCCCACCATATCTACTGATCAGCTAACGCCACCCTCCCTCCTTTTTTGATGTTAAGCTCTGAGACTATGATTATTATGGCTACCGCAAATATATTGCTTGGTACCAGACATGTTCGTACCTCATATTCCATCTCCCTAGCTTTCTTAATGAGTGCTTCCAATAGGTCTCCGCGTACATCTTTATGAACATTATATATGTATGCATGCGTCCTAATGAACAGATTACTTTACAAGAAGTTAAAACCTTAAAGAATAAAAAGAATAGGTTTTGTGAATAGTGAAGCAAGATTCAGCAGAACAATATAGTTAGGGATCAATGTAGGTAGTATGAACTGAAGGTAAGGTCGGTTGGCAGGACTTAGTGTACTAAATTATCATGACAGTCTTATATATAGTCAACATTTGACATTGCAAAGTAACCTGTCTACATATATTATAAAAAGATATTAACAGAACCAACAAAATTTCAGCATTTGTTTAACAATACTACAGAAGGGTAGTTAGTACTACAGGTAGTCGTAAAGTAAATCAATCTATGTATAATAAGAGCATAGTCAGTGTCATAATTCGTATTATCAAAGAATACATTAGGCTCAATAACTGAGTGTTATAAGGGAAATAAGAGCGGTAAACCAAGAGAACATTTGCCGCATAAGTATTTTAATCATTTTAAGTATTTTAATGACAATCTAATTTCAAGTATTGAACCTACATAATTACTAAGTATTATTATGTTAGTCTGGGAACTAGTGTACTTTCTGTAGTTAAATATTGAAATGCCATTGTCTCTCCACTCTACCAGCAGTTGAGATCTTTGAGGCGGGCTAGGGTGGACATGTTTATATGTTTTTCTAGGCTCCTTTTGAAACTGTCAGGCCTTTCACAGGATCTTATCTCAGAGGGTAGTTGGTTCCAAAGTTTGCAATATTTAATGGTGAAGAAGTTAGCTCTAGTGGTGAGTTTATGGGTGTTAACCTTGAGAAGGTAGTTGTGGTTGCGTAGTCCATACGATTTAGGATTAGCCCAGGTTATGGACGAGTTACTGTTACAGTGCTTTCTTATAACTTTGAATAAGAGAAATAAATTGCACTTCACTCTCCTTAACCATAAGGGCTCTAAGTCCAGTCGAATACATCTGTCAAGGTATTCTATTTGCTGACCATAGCCTAATATGCGTTTCGTAAGGAATCTTTGGACACTTTCAACTTTTTTTCTGTCTGCTGATTTAAAGCTACTGTATAAGTGGGCACAGTATTCAAGTTTGGGGCGAATGCATATCTTATATATGGCTAATCTGGCTTCTGGAGTGTAAAAGTTGCGTAGCACAAAGCCGGTTAGACGTTTACAATCAGATACCACCTTATTTGCATGTTCAGTAAAGGTAAGATCTGAGTATGTTATCCCGAGATCTGTGACTGTGTTTGTGTTTGAGACAAGGTCACCGTACATGTATAGACACATGCTAGGTTTCCAAC